CGGGGAGGGGTCTCTTCCAGGCTATCTTGGAGGGCCTGGGGGGTCTGGGGACGACGTTTTGGAGGGTTCTCCCACGGGGGGGGGTCTGAAATGGCTTGTCTTGGAGGGTCCAGACCCCCTCCCTTTTATTACGAAATCTGGAGTAAGTAGGAACTCGACCATCAGAAACCTTCCACAAGAAACCCAACCCTGAGACCCCAGGTCGTCGGTCGGTTTTTGGTGTGGCAACGTCACACTTTCCGCAACAGAACCATCGAAACCCGAGAAAGCCAGGGCGATTGGAGGCAAGCGGGGTGTGACTTGGCATGGGCTTCCACTGTCTATCCCCCGAACGCTGCCCCTGACCCCTCCAGGGGTCCCAAGCGCTCAGGTTTCGTGCACTGCGCGGCCACGGGGGGCCAGGTGCCTCAACTCTGGAGGAAGGGCAAACTGCATGAACATACGGTCGGGCTTGATTGGAGAGGACACGCGAGAAGACAAAAGACCCTTCCGAGGGCTAAATGTAAAAAGCACGGCTACAGACAAGACGCAAGGGTATCGTGGACTTGGCAGGTTCGGACTACTGATCAATTGAGTGAGTGAATGAATGCGCCTTGCACCAGACGGGCCGTCGCCAATTGCCTTTCGCGACCGCTCCAAGCCGTTACTGCCAGCTCCCTGTCGCGCACTGCACTACCCTCAGGGCGGAAGAAGTCAGCCAGGCGACCACGGGAACCGGCGAATTCCAGACACTTTCGTAAGACAAGGTGTCCTCTTGTCTCCCTTGGACTTCCTCGTTGTCTCTGGCCGGCTGGTTTGCGAAACTCCAAGCTTCCTGGTTCAAACACCGAGCAGCAAACTGGATCCGATCCAGGTCCCCGGGCCAGCTGAGCCATGAATTGCATCTGTCTTCGGGCAAGGCGCACGCTGAGCTTCTTTCTCCAACCATCCGAAGCACAGGACCTTGGAGGCGCGGCTGATTTATGCAGGTGGCACTCGACATATTATGCGGAAGCGTCGGTTCTGAAAGCTGTCTATGCGTCGCCTCTCCGCTCTGTTCAAAAAACTACAACAAGTATGTGAGCTTGGACACCACACAAGCGTTGAAGATTCGTATTTTCTGCTTCCTGGAGAGATCTGACTGGGACAAAATTGTGTACAACGTCTGAAAATCGCCCGTCGCTGCCTCACACCTCCTGTTTACATCGATACCGCTCCTTCCGTCCGCCGAGAGCGAAGTACCCAAATATACCAGAGACGGCCTGTTCTCTACGGTCTCACCGAAATTATTGAGCATAGGGACATCTGGCCGCACGCCCATCAATTCATTTTTTGTCCCCATTGAACTGTAAGTCGCAATGCAAACCACATGCCGAAAATTGTTGGAGGCCCACGCGGACTTCTTGCGTCGGCGCTGGGCCCCCCCTCCCTCGCGCGCGGAAGCGCGCGGGGGGCTGCGCCGGAGGCGCTGCCGAGGGGGCCAGGCGCCGATCCAAGAGATTCGCGCGGAGCTCCAGGAACTGAGGAATGGGCTGCGTTTTGTTCCTCGGAACTCGCCCTCGTCTCAGACAGCCCCTCTCCGACCAGCCATAACTGAGGGAGCTGTGGTCCTTACCCCCCTGGGGGAACCGATCGCCTCGACGATCTCTCGCGAGGGGTGTCGAAATCGATGGGCCCCCCAGGGGGGTAAGGACCACAGCTCCCCCAGTTGTGGCTGGCCTATCTCTCGGGGGTGGACCACGCCCCCGTTAGCAAGACGCCCTCCAGCGAAAGCTGCCAAAGGGCACTCCACGTGCGCACGGCGTCGCACTCCGAGTGCACCCAGGCGGGGTAGCTCATCGACGCCTAAAGATAACAGCATGTCGGCGGTGGACAAACCTCCCTTTAGTAGACCTCCCCTTACAGTCGAGGCGTTGACCTAAGGAACCCTAAATATGGAACGAGGCCCCTGTTTTCCATAAGTTAAACTTCGATTGCTTGTCGAAAACATAAGGAAAACCTGAGGCAAGCTGTGAAACACTTAAGGAACGCGGAGCCCCTCCCCAACGACAAGGGTTCCTTCTTCAGGGCCCCGACTGTAGTGAAAACGGCCTGGAACCGAAACCGACGGACCTGGACCCGCAGAAATGACGGCCGCGACGCCCCCTCGCGCACCGAGAACGGCCAATTCCTCGATCGACGCGTCAGGGTAGGTCTGTCCACCCCCGAGAATGTATCTGGCGAAACGCACGTCGACTAGCGAAACAAACTGGGGACTGCACCGGAACACTGACACGTCGTGTGAACCCTTGCAGCGTCCACAGTCGACCTGCCTGGCGGTCTGGCAATGCCCGAGCCCCTTCGGACTCCTTCCTCCTTCAGAAGACTGGGTGGTTGAAAACGATGGGGTCCTGAGGGATGGGCTGAGGGATCCAAGGGTGGACTTACATTGTCTGAAGCACCTCGTCCTCAGGACCCCATCCCTCAAGACCCCACCCCAGACCCCTGACGTCGTGACTTTTTCACCACGCCGACCCCAAAGGTCTGGACCCCTTTCCCAGGGACCAGCTTCTTGTCCCGAGTCGTTTGATGGCCCCGAGGCCCGGAAAGGGCCCCCAGAGGCTGAAAAATTGAGAAAAGCCTCCCGTCGTGACTTCTTCACGGCGCGAGCGGGGCTGGGACCTCTGCAGGTTGGGGCGGCGCGCCTCCCGAAGGCTCAGGTCGGGCATGTCCCCCTAGAGGCGGACCCTGGACGAGCAATAAAAACGAGCCAGAACCTACACTCCCCAATGGCAAAAACAAAAACAGTCCAACAATCGTCCCCCTATCATCTGTTGACTCTTTTGGACGAATCCCCCCGCAGAGGGGCGTGCCCCGACGGAACGGCCAGAAATAACAGCCAGAAGCTACTCTCCCAAATGGTAAGAAAAAACAAATCGTCCCCCTACTGTTTGTTGACGATTTGGGAATCTCCCCCCTGTAGAGGGACGTGCCCGACGGAACGGACGGCTCGCGGAGGGCGCCTGCGGGGCGGCCTCGCGGGGCGCCTGCTGGGCCGCCAGGGCGGGCTCCTGCCGGCCGCGCCGCTGGGGGGCCGCCGCGCCGACGGCGGCAGCGCGGCGCGGGGAGGCGGCGGCGTCGCCGAGGCACCAGCGATGCAGCGAGGCCCTCCGACCCCCATCTGCTCCGACCCCCATCTGCTCCGACCCCCACCTGGGAGGGGGAGGAGGGGGATGGGGGGGGGGAGGAGGAGGAGGAGGAGGAGGAGGAGGAGGAGGAGGAGGAGGAGGAGGAGGAGGAGGAGGAGGAGGAGGAGGAGGAGGAGGAGGAGAAGAAGAGGAGAAGAGGAGAAGAGGAGAGGAGGAGGAGGAGAGAAGGAGGAGGAGGAGGATGAGGAGGGGGGAGGAGGAGGAGGAGGAGGAGAGGAGGAGGAGGAGGAGGAGGGAGGAGGAGGAGGAGGAGGAGGAGGAGGAGGAGGAGGAGGACGAGGAGGCCGCCGCGCCGATGACGGCAGCACGGAACGGAGAGGCGGCGGCGGCGACGGCGACCCTGAGATTCTGACGTGGCAAGTCTTCCACATCACACTTGAGCGACGATCGAAAACGGGTCTTGCGCGAGATGGCGTATCGACCTTACGCGGCGGCTTGCGCGGGCCGCCAGCGCGGCACGTTGCAGTGGGAGCGAGGGCGCTTCCGCCCGAGCTTACAAGGGCAGCTTACGCGCCAGTGTCGGTGAAGACGACCACGTTTTCTTTCGTCGCTCACTTGAGGCCTCCCAGATGGGTTCCGAGTAGATGGGGTCGAGGGATCGCGCCGCATCGCCGAGACATCGCCGATGCATCGGCGATGCACCGGCGATGCACCGGCGATGCGGCGACAATGCATCGGCGATGTCTCGGCGACGCTGGCGCGGAGAAAATCGGGCGCCACATTGAGCCGCATCGCTGATGCATCGGCGATGCGGCGAAATCTTCCGACCCCATCTACCCGGACCCCATCTGGGAGGCCTAGAAACAGGTGCGTTCTCCTGGTTTTGGGCTCCAAGACCCTCACAAGTCGATCCAACTCCATATAAGGCAGAAATCGAAGCATCGCTAACCCGGGTCAGTGCACGCCCGGGTCAGTCAAGCCTTGCAAGATCCTGCCAAATCCTGCAGGACCCTGCAAAATCGTGCGCGCTGACCCGTGTCAACGCACCCCTGGCTCTGCAGGATCCTGCGTCATATGGCGCTCTGGCCGACCCCCGTCTGCATCGACCCCCGCCTCAAAACTCCACAGGAAAGATGCGGTCCTGGGATCCGGTGGCGACTTTTAGGCAGACCTGATGGGGACAGCGGCGGCGGTGGCGACGCGGAGGAGGAAAAGAAGAAGAGGAGAGGAGGAGAGGAGGAGGAGGAGGAGGAGGAGGAGGAAGAGGAGGAGGAGGAGGAGGAAAAGGTGCCGACGCCGCTGTCCTTCCCTCGCTCTCGCTTTTTTTTAAGCCTCTTGGGAAGCCCTCGTCTCCACGGCTGGGTTCGCTTCGAAATGCTGGCCAGAACGCACCCTGGGAAATGTCCTGGGAATCACGGTGTATGTTGGTCTGGTTTGCCCAAGCGAGAGAACGGCGGCGGCGGCGGTGGCGACCAAGGATGACCACGACCGCGATGACGGCCAACTTCTCGGCGGCGAACCCGGGAGTGAAGTGAGAGGGGGCAGGCCTTCTCAGAAGGCGGCGGCACTTCTCAGAGGCCCTCCCGCCTTCTACTCAGTTTTCTGTCGTTCGGAGGAGTCTCAGGAAACTTCTCAGAAGGCCCGAGGCCCTCCGAGCGTTCCGACAAGGCCTGCTCCCTCTCACTTCCCCCAGGCTCGCCGCCGAGATACGGCGGCAGTGGCGGCGGTGGCGACGGTGCGCGGCGAGAGGACGAATGACAAGGGATCTGTCGACCCCTATCTCAGACCTCGTTGGGATTTCGAATGGGCCTGAAACCTGAGCCAAACTCGAAGATCTACGATGGTGGGGCGTCCATCATCGATAGGGGTGCGTCCTGATAGCTCCTTTTTATTCGTCGAGGAATGGCAGTCTCAAGATAACCACAACGAAAACCAATTCATGAATTCATGCACGCACTCGTCCAGTGACCTTGCCACCTGAAGTGCGAGCAGGAGTCACAGCCAAATAATGGCCATGCCCGGCTCGCTGCGCAGACCGGCGCAGCTCGCGGCCAGCGCCATCGAGCTCCGCAGCCTCGGCATCCGAGAGGCGAACTCCGCGAGACATCCTCCTTTTTCTGGAGCGGCTGGATTTTTCAGGGGGAGATCTCGGCATGGAGCCAGCGGGCCCCGAGGGAAGCGGGTCCTGGACCCTGGGACCCCCCCCCCGTGGGCGAGCTCCTCGCCCGTGGGGGAGGAGGAGGAGGAGGACGAGGAGGAGGAGGAGGAGGAGAGAGGAGGAGGAGGAGGAGGAGGAGGAGGAGAGAGGAGGAGGAGGAGGAGGAGGAGGAGGAGGAGGGAGGAGGGAGGAGGAGGAGGAGGGAGGAGGTGAGGAGGAGGAGGAGGAGGAGGGGGAGGAGGAGGAGGAGGAGGAGGCGTGGTCGCCGCTCTGCCAGGACCCCGAGACCCGTGGCAGGCCCCCCGAGAGCCCGAGCACGGCGGAAGTCCTCAGGGCCCGCTTCCCCTGAGCGGCCTGCTGTCCACCACCACCACCACAAATGGGAGGGGGAGGGGGGGGCCTCCTCCTCCTCCTTCTCCTCCTCCTGCTCCTCCTCCTCCTCCTCCTCCTCTTCCTCCTCCTCCTCCTCCTCCTGCTCCTCCTCCTGCTCCTCCTCCTGCTCCTCCTTCCCCCCATCCAACTAATGGTGGTGGTGGTGGAAAGCAGGCCCATCATCCCTCAGAACCCGTTTCCTCCCCCCGGCGGAAGGGTGTGGGGCCAGGGTCGAACAAAGCACTCGCGAGCGGCAGCAGCAGGGGTGGGGGGAAGGGGGAGTGGGGATGATGGAAAGAACGTCTCAAGGGGCTCAGGACGCACGTGTGTTTTTGCATTTGCTTGTGTCTGTGTGTTTTTTCCCAACCATCCTGTGGTGTTGGGTCCTCGTTTTGAAGAGACGGTGCCCCGCGTTCCTTCCTTCCTCCTCTCCTCCTCCCCCCCTCCTCCCCCTCCTCCCTCCTCCCTCCTCCCTCTCATCATCATCATCGTCATCGCCATCATCATCGTCATCGTCATCGTCATCATCATCAGCACCAACATGGTCGTCATCATCACCATCACCCTCCGCATGCCTCTATTTCGGCACACCCATCACACGGTTCGTGGCCCCGTAGGGAGCTCCACCGAAGTCCCCAGTGGCAGGGTTCGCATGGCGGCTCCGCCCCATTTTGGCGCACCCCTCACACGGTTCGTGGCCCCATAGGGAGCTCCACCGAAGGCCCCAGTGGCAGGGTTCGCATGGCGGCCCCGCCCCATTTTGGCGCACCCCTCACACGGTTCGTGCCCCATAGGGAGCTCCACCGAAGGCCCCAGTGGCAGGGTTCGCATGGCGGCCCCGCCCCATTTTGGCGCACCCCTCACACGGTTCGTGGCCCCATAGGGAGCTCCACCGAAGGCCCCAGTGGCAGGGTTCGCATGGCGGCCCCGCCCCATTTTGGCGCACCCCTCACACGGTTCGTGGCCCCATAGGGAGCTCCACCGAAGGCCCCAGTGGCAGGGTTCGCATGGCGGCCCCGCCCATTTTGGCGCACCCCTCACACGGTTCGTGGCCCCATAGGGAGCTGGCCCCCAGGGTTCGCATGGCGGCCCCAGCACCCCTCACATCGTGGCCCCATAGGGAGCTCCAAGGCCCAGTGGCAGGGTTCGCATGGCGGCCCCGCCCATTTTGGCGCACCCCTCACACATCGTGGCCCCATAGGGCCACCGAAGGCCCCAGTGGCAGGGTTCGCATGGCGGCCCCGCCTCATTTTGGCGCACCCCTCACACGGTTCGTGGCCCCATAGGGAGCTCCACCGAAGGCCCCAGTGGCAGGGTTCGCATGGCGGCCCCGCCCCATTTTGGCGCACCCCTCACACGGTTCGTGGCCCCATAGGGAGCTCCACCGAAGGCCCCAGTGGCAGGGTTCGCATGGCGGCCCCGCCTCATTTTGGCGCACCCCTCACACGGTTCGTGACCCCATAGGGAGCTCCACCGAAGGCCCCAGTGGCAGGGTTCGCATGGCGGCCCCGCCTCATTTTCGCGCACCCCTCACACGGTTCGTCGCCCCATAGGGAGCTCCACCGAAGGCCCCAGTGGCAGGGTTCGCATGGCGGCCCCGCCTCATTTTGGCGCACCCCTCACACGGTTCGTCGCCCCATAGGGAGCTCCACCGAAGGGCCCAGGGGCAGGGTTCGCATGGCGGCCCCGCCTCATTGTGGCGCACCCCTCACACGGTTCGTGGCCCCATAGTGAGCTCCACCGAAGGCCCCAGTGGCAGGGTTCGCATAGCGGCCCCGCCCCATATTGGCGCACCCCTCACACGGTTCGTGGCCCCGCAGGGACATAGGGAGCTCCACCGAAGGCCTCAGTGGCAGGGTTCGCATGGCGGCCCCGCCCCAGTGTGGCGCACCCCTCACACGGTTCGTGGCCACATTGGGAATTCCTTTTGCTTCGTCCCACCTGCCCTGCGGTATTCACGTTTGCATATGGTTGGGTCCTTCGCCAGGATAATTTTTCACCCTGACCGTCAGATTGCACCGAAAATGGGAAAAATGGGCAAGCGATAGAAGTCGGAAAAGGCGAGCACGCGCAACTCGACGAGACAGCAGGTAGAGCACGCGACACCTGTCGGGCGAACTGCCGAAGACGAAGCCAGAGGCAGGGGGAGGGAGGGAGTGAGGTGGATGAGGAAGGAGGAAGGAGGAAGAGGGGGAGAAGGGGGGGGGAGGGACGAAGGGGGGGAGGAGGAAGGAGGGGTGGGGAGGAGGGGGGGAGGGGAAGGAGGGGGGGAGGAGAGGGGGTGCAGGTGGGGGGGGGGGGGTAGGGGGGGCGAGGAGGCGGAAGGAGGGGGGGGGAGGAAGAAAGAACGAGTGGGGCCAGGAACTGGACCTCAGACGCTGGAGGCTGCTGCCCACGAGCTGGCCGCGTCGACTCCGCCGGCGGACGCCTCTTGACGCAACTGACTGGACAGCGGGCCGGCCTGCACGCGCCGGGCCTCGCGCCGAGCGGGTCGCGGCGAGCACGACGACACGAGCCGCGCTCGGGAGGCGGACAAAGACGGGTCCTGCGCGAGACGGCATGGAAGGGGCACAGGGGCACACAAGTGAATGCACGCAGAGCCCAGGATGCCCCACAGATGTTTCCCCATATCTTCGGGGTGGTTTTCGTCTTCCCCCCCCCCACTGTCCAGAGTTTCCCATCTTTTCCTGGGGAGCGACGATCAAGTGTGTCTCTGTGTGTGTGTGTGTGTCTGTATGTGTGTGTGTGTGTGTGTGTGTGTGTGTGTGTGTGTGTGTGTGTGTGTGTGTGTGTCTGTGTGTGTGTGTTTGTTCTCCCCTCCTGCGACATAACGGCCTTACGACGAAGTGGCTTACGCGGGGCCGCCGGCGCGGCCCGCTGCATTGGAGGCGAGGGCGCTTGCGCGCGACCAGGGGGCCACATGCGACCTTACGCGGGCAACTTGCGCGCCGATGTCGGCGCAACCGATCTCGATTGTTTTGGCTTCGCTCAAGTGGGGGTCCTTGCGCCGAACGGGTCAAGAACGACACGACGACTTAAATGACTTGGACAAACAGCGGTGCCAACTCCGTTCGCGAAGCGTTGCCGACAAACACATCTGATTGTGGATGTCGACCCGCGAATGTGCATCCGCTGTCCCCGCCAACAGACGTCCATGGGCAGCCGGAGTTCCATGCCAACTCTGTCGAACCTAAGTATGGTGCTGTCATGGGACTTCGCCTTGTCAGCGAATTTCGATTACGAGCTATTCATCGGCAAACTCGCAGGGGAACTAAGAATGTTCCACACTCGCTTTTGATATCGGGTCCATGTCAAATGTGTATCGTCGAGCGAAGGAGAACCTTGTCCATATCGTCGTGCTAGGAATGGCGAGAGGTATCATAAGGAAAATGAGATGCATCAGGAATGCGGCCAGGGAATGTGGTGCGGGAAGGGGACGCTGGAGATGGAGCCCGTTTTGTTATGACTCGCAGGAACCCCAATGACAGGCCCCCCCCAATGCCGGCGCCGTGTTGGAATCCGCCCTTCCTGGGCATTCCCAGACGGCGCCAGCGTGAATCGTGGCGTTACCCCCCCCTGGTCACGCCCATTATCGCCGGGGGGTGCCAACAAAAACGGGTTCCTGGGAATTGGTGAGGTGACAGTCGGGCGGGTGCTTATGGGGGGTTGCCCAAGTGGAAGGGGGGAAAAACCAAGAGGAGCCCCAAAGGGGTCTTCTTCTCCCCCCATTCAGGTGCCCGCCACCCCCCGAGTCTGGAAGTGATAGAGGATTCATGAAGAAAGGATCAAAGATGCAGGGCCCGGGACGATAGCCAAGGCTGCGTTCCCAATGTTGTTTTCAAACAGTTTGATTTGCCGCGCACAAGTGCGAGGTACCCCCCCCCCCCGCCCAGAGCTATGATGATGATGCGCGGAAATATTTGCCGTCCTGATGTATCACGCGCTGGTGCGCGGGAAATGCCCTGTCACGCCGTTCTCGCTTGAAAAGGCCCCTTGGTTACCGCCCCGTGTACTAACGACCCTTTGCTGAGCATCGTTTGACCGATCCCCATCCCCAGCGGCGTGGCCTGAGCCCCGCTGGCCGATTTACCCCCCTGGATGGGGATATAGGTCGCTCTCTTCGGGCTTCGAGGGGTGTATCCCCAACTGGGGTGGTAATTTGGTGGGAGTCTCGAGGGGGATGGAGATGGGGATGGGGATCGGCAAAACGACACCGATCTGCAGGGGCTTGGCACGAGGAGCCCCTGGGGCCCTCTGGGCCTCGTGATGGGGTGCCCTGGAGGCCATCTGGGCCACCCCGAGAATCCTGGGGGTACAGTCGGGGCGTTGACCTAAGGAACCCTAAGTAAGGAACGAGGTCCCTTTTTTTCCATCAGTTAAACTTCGACTTCCCATCGAAAACATAAAGAACCCCCTGAGGCAAACTGCGACACAATCAAGGAACACCGAGCCCCTCCCCAACGAAACGGGTTCCTTCTTCAGGACCCCTACTGTACCTTGGGCCAGGGGTCCTTCTGGCGACGCCCGAAACTTCGGGAGCGGCCAAGAGGGGGGTGTCCAAGAGGGGGGGGATGCAAATCATGACCGGCTGCATGTGCGCGGCCCAGCGGGGGGGCCTGGGACGTAATGAAATAAGAAGAGGCGCCATGAGATCTGGGGAAATATCATGGCCCCCGCCACGATATCCACCCCCCCCTAGTCATCACCCCCCTCTTTTCCGCCCCCGAGCAACGCCCGAAACTCTGCACGGCCTGGGCACGAGGAGCCCCAGGCCCCGTCGTGCTGCGGCTCCAGGGGCGCGCCGGCGGGCGGGCCATGGGGCCACATTCCTCGCCCCCCGCCGCCCCCGCCTCCCCGCCTGCTGCTCTCCCCGCCGGCCCTCCACTACCAGCCTGGAACATATCCCTATGCCTATGCCTATGCCTATGCTGGGCACCTCCTCATCACGATGCCAATCTTAGGGATTCCCTTAGTTTTTGAGGGCGGATCCCTAAGATTGTCATCGCCTTTTGGCGTGTCCATCTGAGGGATAGGGATACGTTCGAGGCTGGTAACTCCACGCCGCCGCGGGCCCTCCCGACCGGGCCCCAGCGCGCAGGCGATCCTCACAACGCGGAGGGGCGTTCTGCTGCTGTGTCATCTGTTCTCAGGGTCGACGTTTGTTTGTCATGCTTCGATGTTGGGGGGGGGGGACTGTTCTTCCCCTCCCCCCCCCGCGATCTCGAAGCCCCGTGCGCTCGCGCCGCGGTCGGCTCGGTTCGCTGCTGCACTGCCGCTTCTTCGTCCGCTGTGGGCTGCCGTGCTTTTCCGCGTTGGTTGGCCAGGAGCCGACACGATGAACACGAAAACGCGCCGCCCCCCCAAGGTTTCTGCATAAACTGGGCCGCAACGGGCTCCATGCTCCTCCTCTGAGACGACTCAAAATGACTACAACGATGACGCGATGAACAGAACGAAGGTGCTGACAAACGCGCACGCCGAAGCATCGGGGGCGGCCAAGAGGGGGGCGTCCAAGGGGGGGCTGCGCAAATCATGGCCGGCTGCATGTGCGCGGCCCAGCGGGGGGGCCTGGGACGTAATGAAATAAGAAGAGGCGCCATGAGATCTGGGGAGATATCATGGCCCCCGCCATGATACCCCCCCCTAGTGATCACACCCCTCTTGGCCGCCCGCTCCCGAAAGCATTCAGCACGTCGGCGACTCGACGAGGCTTCGCGAGGTCTCGCACCCGCCCTGCCCCCTCTCCGGTGACGTGCGAGGGTCGCGCGAGTGGGAGGGAGGCATGAAGGAACGCTGCGCCCTCCCTCCACGCAACTGCTGGGCACCCTGAGGAGGTGTCAGCCGAGATAGCGGCAACTCTCCCGCCCAGCCCCAGGTCGGGCATGTCCTCCTTCAGGCGCAGCTTGGAAGGCAAATAGAAGAAAGTTGTCCAAAAGTGATCAACAATCGTCAAACAAGTCGTCGAAACATCGTCCCCAGACTATCTTTGTTGACTATGTCTGAATATTCCTCCTGTCGAGGGACATGCACGACGTAAGCCCAGCCCCACATCCGTTTTCAGATCGGCTCCTGGACCTCTCCCGTGTCCATCGGGGGTTGCTGGAAGTGCCCCTGGCCCAATGCGACCCCCGCCAGGAGTTCCAGGGAGGCCCCCGCGGCCTCCAGAGCACCCCTCGCGAGGCCAAGGGGGCCCGAGGGGCTCCAGAAGGGAGCGAAGCTGGGGGCGCCTTGGGCGAGGGGCACCTTCAGCAGTCCCCGAGTCCATCCGGACACGCGCTCCGAGACGGACCCTGTCGTGGCGACGAGAAGCCCCCCAGGTCCAGAGATGACGATAGACGCTAGCCGGGGGGGGGGGCCGCCTTTGTTTCGACTGGCCCACCTCTGGCCGTCCCTATGCCTCCTCCGGCCACCTCCCCTCTCCTGTTGCTGATGCCAACGCGTGAGCATCTGGCAGGGATCGTCACTGGGGGGGACGAACCCACGGACAATCTGCCTCCCTGGGGAACCCGAGGCGAGGAGGCACGGGCAACGCGCAAGGAGGGAGAGCGACCGGGGTGAGGACGACGAGGAAGCAAGACGGGGGCGCGAAAGGGGGAGCAGGACGAGAGGAGGTGGAGGAGGAGGAGGAGGAGGAGGAGGAGGAGGAGGAGGAGGAGGAGGAGGAGGAGGAGGAGGAGGAGGAGGGGGGGAGGAGGAGGAGGGGAGGAGGAGGGGGAGGAGGAGGAGGGGGAGGAGGAGGAGGAGGAGGAGGAGGGGGAGGAGGAGGGGGAGGAGGAGGAGGAGGAGGGAGGAGGAGGAGGAGGAGGAGGAGGAGGAGGAGGAGGGGGAGGATGACGAGGATGTGCGAGGGGGCGGAGGAGGACGACAGACGAGGGGCGAGGCTGGAGGACGCGGGAGGCGAGGGGAGGAGACCCTGACCTTCAAGAGTGCTCGAGCGCTGAAACATAGCGCTCCAGACCTATATAGACTTCTTTGGTTCTCCCCCTCCTCCTCCTCCTCCTCCTCCTCCTCCTCCTCCTCCTCCTCCTCCTCCTCCTCCGCCTCAAACCTCGACAGGAATTTGGACGTCGACCTCCCGGCGTTATGCTTTGGCTCTCCTGGAAGGTCAGCGGAAGGGCGGACAGGAAGGGCGCCGCAGGAACGACCGGCCCGCGCGAGCCCTCCGCCTTTCTCTCTCGCCAGAGCCCCACAACGGTGCCGCACCGCGTCCCCACCGGAGTATCTTTTCACCTATCCCCATCCCCACTGGCAATGGCCCTGGTGCCACTGACAGATTTACCCCCCTCGAAGGGGATGTACACACACCAGTCGGAAGAAGTAGGTAAAACATGAAGTAGGAAGGCGGGATTGGGCTCAGGCCCTCCCAGAGAAAAACGAACCATGGCAAAAGCAGATCGGTTCTTGGAGTGGGAAGGCGCTTGAAATAGATTGGGATCTGGGAATCCAGACATACCTACTTTCAACGACCGGCGTGTAGGCTGCTCCCTTCGGGTCTCGAGGGGCCCATCCCCAACTGGGGTAAAGGTATGCCGGGGCTGAGGCCTGGTGGGGATCCCTCAGATCCGACGTGGCGCAGCATGCAGCGTCGCCAGACATCACGACCGGATAGCACCCGACCCCACCTTTCTGCTGCACTTGGAGCCGCACCGATCTGTAAGGGCCCCGGGGGGGCCCGAACGCGGGCGAAACCGCCCGTGTAAAAAAAGGGCGACGCCCGGATCTCGGGGTAGGTTCAAGTCGGGCCTGTCCCCCTCCAGGGGAATTTTCGACGAAAAATTAAAAGTGCCCCAAAATAATCCAAACACAATCCAAGAATAGTCTGGGGACTAGTTTTTGTTGGCCTTTTTGGGGCATGTTTGGAGTATTTTTCACTCTTCGTCGAAAATCCCCCTGTATGGGGGACAGGCCCGACATGAGGGCAGGTGCAACGATGCTCCCTCGCGCCACGCTGGCGCCCCGCTGGCGCCCCCTGCGGCGCCCGCTGGCAGCCCGCCCTCGCCTCGGCGGACCGGGCGATCGGCGGCGGGACCGAGGCTGGGCCAGTCGGTGCTCTGGGCATCGCTCGGACGTCCATGTCCTGTATTTTTTTTCGGTTTCGTGCGTGGTTGTTTCGCCAAATGATCAAGGATGCTCCTCGATGGTCCTCGCCGAAGGAAAAGTGCACACGTGCGAGCGACGCCAAGTGCTGGGGCCATCGCTGGGGCCAGGGCTAGGGCCGTGGCCGGGACTGGCGCCGGGGCGTCATCGTCGTCGTCGCCGTCGTCGTAAGCGTCGTCGTCGTCGTCGTCGACGTCGTTAAAGTCGTCGTCGTAAGCGTCGTCGGCGTTGTTACAGTCGTCGCCGTAGTCGTATTCGTGGTCGTCGGCGTCGTAAGCGTCGTCGCCTTCGTAAGCGTCGTTGTCGTAAGCATCGTCGTCGTCGTCGTCGTGGTCGTAGGCGTCGACGGCCTCGTCGTCGCCGGCGTCGTCGTCCTCGTCGTAAGCGTCGTCTTCAGCGTCGTCGTCGTCGGCGTGAGCGTCGCCGTCGTCGTCGTCGTCGACGACGTCTTTGTCGTAAGCCTCGTCGGCGTCGTCGTCCTCGTCGTCGTCGTCGACGTCGAAGTCGTATTCGTGGTTGTCGGCGTCGTCGGCGTCGTCGGCGTCGTATTCGTGGTTGTGGTCGTCGGCGTAGGCGTCGTCGTAAGCGTCGTCGGCGTCGTCGGCGTCATCGCCGTTATCGTCGTAGCTGTAAGCGTCGTCGGCGTCGTCGTAAGCGTCGTCGTCGCCGTCGTAAGCGTCGTCGCGTCGGCTGATGAGCTCCAGTGGAACCTGTGGGTAGGTACGTGTGGCTAGCTGTGGTTGGGATAAGAGCTTTACCAAGAACTGTGTGGGAAGCTGTACTACTGGCTGTCGTGAGAATTGCAACACGAGTTGCACTCATCTATGCAATTTGATGCCAGATAAGAAGCACTCGGAGCTGTAGCAAGACTTGAAGTGAGAGCTGTTTTACTGGCTGTAGTCAGAACTGTTGCAAGATCTGTAACCATGCCTGTAGATGTCTACCATGATCCCATCGCAGATCCCAGACCCGGAGGACTTCTATTCAATTTGATTCGGGTTCAGATGCGATTTCAAGAAGAGCTGGAAATATCCCCAAGTCCAGAAAATTCACATTGGACTTGAATGGGCTTCTAAACATACCTCAATAGAAACGGAAATCATCCCAAATCCAAAGGGTTCCCATAGAGTTTGAATGGGTTTCTACCAAGGTTTCACAAGGAGAGGAACACCTTCCAGATCCAGAATATTCTTATTGAATTTGAAAGAGAATCGACTCGGATTCTTATAGAAACGTAATAGATCCCAGATCCAACTACAATTTAATTTGAATGGGATGCTGATCTGCTTGCAGTAGGAAAAGAGCAGATCCGAGGCCCAGAATACTCTTGGAGGTGATCCCCGTCATATCTCAATAGAACTGGAACCGATTCCAGATGCAGGAGGAAGAGGAGGTGGAGGAGGAGGCGGAGGCGGAGAGCAAGCGCAAACAAGACCAGGGGCAAGGACAGGTCAAGCGGAGGGAGGAGACGGAGGAATGGCGTAGGCCTCTCAGGCTCCCGCCTGAGGAGGCTCCCGCCTGAGATGTCCCCAGCCAACTCGCTGATGAGGCCTCCTGGGGAGCTGTCGGAAGCATTTCGGGAGCCTCTTGAGGCCTCTTGGGGCATCTCGGGGACGTGTTCGAGGTCTCTCGGGAGCCGATGGGGGCCTCTTGGGAGCGTCCTTGAAACTTCCAGGAAATGACGGGAACATGTTCGGAGCCGCGCCCCCTCCCAAGAGAGTACCCAACGACCCTCGGAGCACCCTGTTGAAGCCCTCATGAGCCTCCCTTGGACCGTCTTGGGGCCCTCTTGGGCCGTGTTTGGGGCCTCCGAGACGGCAATGCCTCCGCCTCTTGGACCGTCTGGACGCTTGGAACAATCGGAGAAACGAATATGCTGAAAATGCACGTTTCCCAATGGGGGAGTCAGTGATTAGTGCCTCCTGGGGCCCTCTTGGGAGGCAGGCATCTTTGAGCCCTCTTGGGGCGCCTTGGGGGCCTCTTGGCCCATGTTGACGCCGTCTTGGGGCGTCATGGGGCGCTCTCGGGGCAATTCGGGCGGTCTTGAGCTGGTCCTGGCGGCCTCTGGACGCACCCAGGACGGACCAACGTGCAGTGCTTGCGCTCCGCCGCGCTTGCATTTGCGAGGTTGGCTTCTTATTTTTCCCATGGCCTTCGTACCATCGTGTTGCCGATGTGCCGTCTAGGCTTAGGTCGGGCATGTCCCCCCACAGGCGGAATCTGGGCGAAAGATAAGACATATTCCAAACAATGCCCCCCAAGGCCAAACAATAATCCGCCGACCCCTTGGGGATCATCGGCGTGTGAGATGCTTCCCCCTCCCCAAACCCCTCCCCCGGGAGCCCGGTCCGGTCGATTTGGAGGGGTGGGGGGGGGTCCGGCGCGAGCGCAGCACGGCCGGGACGAGCGGTTCACGGGGCTTTTCCGGGCCCAAGAGGGCCTCAAGACGGGCCAAGAAGCCCCCAAGAGGCCTCCAAGACGGCCCACGAAGGCCCCGAGACGCCAAACGACCGCTCCAAGACGCCCAAGATGGCCCCAAGACGGGCCAAGAGGTCTCCAAGACGGCCCCCGAGGTCCCAAACAAGCCTCCCAAGAGGGCCCCAAGAGTCTAAAATTGTTGATTTTCCATAGTGTTTTTCGATGTTTTTTGCTTTTCCGCCTTTTCGGCTTCCCGACGCTCCAAGACGGCCAAAGAGGCCCCAAAGACAGCCCCAAGATGGCCCAAGAGGCCCCCAAGACGGCCTCCAGACGGCCCAAGACGGCCCCAACACGGCCCAAGAGGTCCCCAAGACGGCCCAAGAGGGCTCCAAGACGGCACCAAGAGGGGCCCAAGAGGGCGACCAAACATGTTGAAACTCTAGCTTTCTGCCCCCAGGAGCCCCAGGGGGCCCCAAGAGTGCCCCAAGAGGCCCCCAGAGGCCCTCACGAGGCCGCCCAGACGCCCCAAGGAACCCCCAAGAAGCACCCCAGAGGCTCCGAAACGGCCCCCAAGTGGCTCCAAAACTCGCGGTGTCGCCGTCCGCTCGGACCCCCCCGCGGAACTGCCCGAGACCCTCTGGCAGTGGCGGCGAACAGACACCAAACAAATATCACTCGCCTTTTCACCCCTTCGCAGCTTCTACTACCCCCAGATTGGCATAAACAAGGGGTCGGCGGTGTGGCGTAAGCCTAAGAATCAAAACATCGTCTCCGGATAATTTTTACTATTTTTGTATATTCCTCCTGTAGAGGGACACGCCCGACTCAAGTCTAAGCTTCTGTTGTTCGCATCCTACTTAAAAACCGCATCCCAGAAATAATTTCGAGCACCTGGAAAAGTGTCAAAAGAGTATCGAAAGAGTGTCGAAACAATGTCGGGCGAGTGTCTCCCAGGGCCCGACACGTGAAAACCTCTGGTTTTTGGATACTTTTCTGGCGCTTGACATTCTTTCTGGTGATCAAGGCTAAAGTAGGTTGGAACATCATAACTGTAGAAGGACACGCCCCACTCCGGTTCCGTCGCCCCGAGACTTCCCCAGCAATGCAGGGCAATGGCGAACAGAAAACATTTCGATATAGGTTTTAGATAGGTTCAAAAGTAGGTTCGGGAGATAGGTTCGCAAGCATAGTAGGTCCCAGGAAGAAGGTGCAACGCGCGGGGAAAACGTGTCATCGGGCAGATAGCCTCCCGTTACTGGGTTTGCCAAAGCGCGTCGGCGCAAATGCCGCGGGCAGCTAAGTTGGCGAAGCGAATTCGCCAAACTAGCCCTGGCGAGTGCACCCGGGGACGTTCCCTGGCCGCGGTAACCTCGCCAAGAAGGTTTGCCATGAAAAACGGCGTCAGGGCTGCATTTCAGGCAGGGGCCGCGACACGTTTCGCGCGATGCACCCTCGGGCACTAAACATAGAAAATTAACGAGAGCGGCTGCGGAGAAGACCTCCGAAAACACGACCCGCCAGAAAAGCAGTCACGACGATGGGCGACCCAAAAATCAATTGGGGCAGCCCCGGCAACTGGCACGGCGAACAACGCAACTCAAGGAATCCCGGACAAGCCGGGCCGCCACCAACAATCACCCCGTACCAATACCGTGCCCCGGCGGGGTTCGGACACGCCATGGCTCCTCCTCATTATCACGGCCGCCCCGCCCAAGGTCATTCTGCCCTCCCCAAAGCCACTCGTTATCAATCACATCATGCTTCCCATCATCGCCCCCCTTGCCTCACCATCCTCCCCCTCGTCAGCCGCAGCATCCACGTTCTCATCCTCCTGCCCCCGATCCTCCCCGCCCTCCCCGCCCCCCCCTCCTCCTCCTCCTCCTCCTCCTCCCCCCCCTCCTCCTCCTCCCCCTCATATTCCCCATCTTGTTCCTACCTTTTCCCCCTCATCCCCCCTTCATCCGCCCCTCATCCTCCGCCCGATCCTCCGGGTCCTCTTGGTCCTCCTCCTCCTACTCCTCTCTCCTGTTCCTCCTTCCTCCTGGCCCTCCGTTTCCTCGACCTGGCTCTCCTCCTCCTCCTCCTCTTCTTCCTCCTCCACATCCTCCTCCCGGCTCTCCTCATCCACCTCCTCCTCCTCCTCCTCTCCCATTCCTCTTCCTCCTCCTCCTCCTCCCCCACATTCTCCTCCACCTCCTCCTCCTCCTACCTTCAATCCCTGACCTTCCATGCTTCCGAAAACAGTTTGAAGTAGGTTTGAAATAGGTTTGAAGTAGGTTTGAAGTAGGTTCGAAGTAGGTTTGAAGTAGGTTTGAAGTAGGTTTGAAGTAGGTTTGAAGTAGGTTTGAAGTAGGTTTGAAGTAGGTTTGAAACCTACTTTGAGGCCTCCGAAACCTACTTTGAGGCTCCTAAAACCTATTTTGAAGCCTCCGAAACCTACTTTGCGCTACCGAAAACCTACTTTTGGAATCCGGAAACCTTCTTTGGAACCTACTTTGCAAAAACAAATTCTGCAAACCTACTTTCCGACCTACTTTGGGGGCGCGGTTCCTTGAAACAT